CCCCCCTCGCATTTCCTGCCCTTTTCCCTGCTCTGTTTAACCCCCTGAAATAACAGAAAAAGAGGGGTTTCCCTCAATTAAAATCCCTAAAACGACAGAAAAGGGGAATTTCCCCTCAATTGAAGCCCTTAAAATGGTGAAAATGGAGGATCCCACCTCAATTTAGATCCCTAAATGCCTCTCCCTCAAGAAACACAGAAAAAGCAGGAAAGGCAGTTTTCCTCCATTTTAACCCTGAAAATAATGGAAAAGGTGGTTCTCCTCCAATTGAAACCCCTAAACCATAGAAAAGGCAGTTTTCCTTCATTTTAACCCTTCAAAACATGCAGAAGGCGGGCTTTCCTTCCATTGAAACCCTTAATATCACAGAAAATGCCGATTTTCCTTTAACTCAGTCCCTTAAAATCACGGAAAAGGCGGGTTTTCCTCCAGCATAAACCCTCGCAAGCACAGAAAAGGCGTTTATCCTTCAAACCAGCGCCTCAACGCCGCGGATAAAGAGCTGCGTAAGAACGCGCGCTGTCCCTTTAAGGCCGCCGCCATCTTTGAAGCGGGCAGGGCTGGTGGTGTGTGCGCAGGCGCAGAGGGGCGCTGAGGGCGGGCCGGAAGTGCGTCAGGTGCGGGCGGAAGCGCGTCGGGCGCGGGCGGGGGCCGGAGGGTTGCGGCCATGGTGGATTACAGCGTGTGGGACCACATCGAGGTCTCGGACGACGAGGACGAGACCCACCCCAACATCGACACCGCCAGCCTCTTCCGATGGCGGCACCAGGTGAGGCCGCGCCCCGTCTGCGCCATCGTCCCCCGCGCCCCGGGCCTGGTTCCCAACCCGTTCACCTCCCCCCCCCCCCCCCCCCGCGTTCCGGGAGGGCCCCGTTCCTATGGAGACCGGGCCTGAGATTCCCGTGGGGAAGGGGAAAGGCAAAGAGAGGGATGTGTTCTCCTGTCCCCATGGCAGCCAGTCCCAGGACCCCTCCATGAGATGAGGACTCCCCCTATGCTTCCCTTTTTCCCGTAGGATCGGCTCTGGGATTCCCAAGGGGAAGGGGAAGAAGAGGAGTTTGTTCTCCTGAACCTGCCCCAAAACCCCCCTATGGGATGGGGGCTCCCCCTATGCTCCCCCTGTTCCCATTGGATCAGCCCTAGAATCCCCCCAGGGGGAGGAGGTTCCCCACATTCCCATGGGATCAGCCCCGGGACCCCCATTGGAGGGTTCCCCCATCCCAGTAGAGACCCCACGACACCCCCATTCCCTGTCCCCTCCCGTTTCCATGGCAGCCAGACCCTCCAAGGGCTTCCTGCTCCATCCCTGGCCACATCCAGGGGCAACTTGTTCCCTTGGGAAGCAAATTAAGGGCGCTCCAGGTTCATTCCCGGTGCGTTTCCCACCCCCCAGGCCCGAGTGGAGCGGATGGAGCAGTTCCAGAAGGAGAAGGAGGAGCTGGATAAAGGCTGCCGGGAGTGCAAACGGAAACTCGCCGAGTGCCAGAAGAAGATGAAGGAGCTGGAGCTGGCGGAGCCGGGCAGCGGGAAGGGGGAGCTGGAGAAGCTCCAGGCCGAGGCCCAGCAGCTGAAGAACGAGGAGAAGAGCTGGGAGAACAAACTGGAGGAGCTGAGGAAGAAGGAGAAGAACATGCCCTGGAACGTCGACACCCTCAGCAAGGACGGGTTCAGCAAGGTGGGTCTGGGGAGCCCCCCGAGCCCACGAGGGTCCCCCCGAGCCTGGGGGGGTCCCCCCGAATCATTCCCGGGCTCTTTCCGCTTCCCAGAGTGTTTTTAACGTGAAACCCGAGGAAAAGGAGGAGACGGAAGAGCAGAAGGAGAAGAAACACAAAACGTTTGTGGAGCGATACGAGAAGCAGATCAAACACTTTGGTGAGTGTTTGGGGGGCTGGGACCCCCTTTTTGGGCTGCTCCAAGCTTGGAAACATCCTCCCTGTGCCAGGAACCCACAGGAAATCCACTCACTCCGCTGAAAAATCACAGATTTTATGTGTTTTTCCCAATTTTTCCCTGCTGGGACAAACCACAATTTAAGGGGAGGGGGTTAATTAAACCTCGGGTGAGTCACCCCCTTTTTCCTCCTGTTTTCCTGACGAAGTTTAGAGTCTGTTCCTTCATTAGCCCGTGGCAAATGTTCCCATTTCCCTGTTTTCCAGGGATGCTGAGGCGTTGGGATGACAGCCAGAAATACCTCTCGGACAACCCTCACCTGGTGTGTGAGGAGACAGCAAACTACCTGGTCATCTGGTGCATCGACCTCGAGGTGGAAGAGGTGGGAAATTGGGATGGAATCGGG